TAAAAGTTACACTGGTGTCGTTTAAAGCCTCTATATATATATATATACATATATATAATTGTGTTGATTAGGTAAGTGTGATAAGCTGCATAATCTATGCTAATTAATTATGGTATGCTATTGTATTTTTGGGTTGTAATCCCTGCATAATTAAGGCTGGAGATGAGACTTAGGCCTTGGGTTAAGTGTTGTGCTATGATAGAATGTGAAATCGGATTTTAGTTAGAATTTCCATTTTGTTAGTTTCTTTATTTTTAGGATTTCATGTTAGTTTATTATGTAATTACTTTATTAGACTTTTTAGTTCTTGTTTTTGTTATGCATTATTATGTGATACCTCTATTTGAGGAAGTTTTGTGTATCATATTTATTTAGTAAAGTTTATTTTCAAACTTTTTCATCTTCTTTACTTTATATGCCTATGTTAATATGTGGGGTACAGAGTGTCACAATTATTATTATTATTATTGTTGTTGTTGTTGTTATTTTTATTTGTATCTTTTATAAATAATTGATTCTAGATTTTTTTTTCAAAAGAATCTTGAAATATTTGTTAAGAATGCCCTTTTTAAAAGAGAATATGAATTATTACACTTTCTTTAAAATAGAAAGCCTAGATTAATATACAACAATTAAATTACCACATCCTAATGGTAGTAATAGTGATGACAACAATGATATGTTAAACTTTCTTTACCAAACACTCACTTTGGAGCCTTGTTTGAAAGTATTGAAATGCCTACTAACATCAAAACAAAAGCTTATCCCTTTTGTCAAAGGTCTGCATGACTTGAAAATGTTAAGCTTGTTAGTAAAAAATTGTAGTCAAAAGTCAAAGAAGGAGAGAAGATAGAGAAAATAAAAAAAGAAAATTCTACAATGAAAGATCAAGCAATATCAAAAGTTGAAGAAATAGCTCATGAAAAAAGAAAAGTTGTTAGAGAAGCTTTTGAAAAGAAGAAACAAGAAGTTCTTGCCATTGAAGAAATGTAGGAAGACACAACTTTTTTGGTTTACTACCAAAGAGTATCTCTCATTAAACATGAAAATTAATCTCCCTCATAGATTTGATGGACATCAAATATGTGAAATTTGTGTTTAACTTGGCATTGTGGATGTTTTTTGTTTTTGATGAGCTCACTGCCTCCCTGGGCGAAAGTGTGCAACACCTCGATGATGCTCACACTTCTCCAACTCTTCCAACCATCATATAACCTATAGTTGTAATGAATTGGCATATCATTGTACTTGCTATAATACAGTTGCTATGCAAAAGAAATCATAAGAATAATTCAACTACTCAAGGATTCTCATGCAACTGTTACTTGGTCATTCATGCAATAAATATATGTACAGGGGTAGAAAGCATAAAATAGTTCTTGCTTATATGATTGAAAACATAAAGCCCTTTATGGGGTTACATACATACCATGTATATATATATACAATATACATAAACTAAAGCATTATTGTATACAAAATAATCCTATCATCGGTCAAGAGTCTATACAATAATCATACTACATCATATTAACATCACCAAAATTGGGTCACCACCAGCATGTCCCTTCACCAGCCAACCAAGCTATCTAGTTAATCTTGTCCTATTCCCATACCAAGTATGATCATGAAATCCAATTACAAGGAAAAGAAATGGTAATCTTATGAAAAGGTCAACATAAACAACTACACAGAGAATTGACTCAATCATTACATCATTTAAGTAATTCACCACTCATCATACATACAACTGATAGAAGATCAATTAACAACTGATCATCGTATAATTTACTCATAGTAAATGATAATCAACTAGTCAATTCTAAACACAATAGAGCAATAGCTAAACCATTGATGGCATGAACTATACAACTGAGTAATTGTTAGACATCTAATAACTGCTAAACATCTATACAACACATGTGTCATTAATCATATCAACTAATAAAGATCTCTTACAATTGGGATGAGCAGTCTAAGTGGCTTGACTTTATCAAATCATCACAGCTGGTATAAAACTAGAAACAATAGTTGTCATGGTGACCATAAACAATGACTAGTATAAAACTAGAAGCAATGACTAACATGGTGGTTAGATTGATTTCTATGTTTTTTTACTTAAACTAGGAAAGTCTAGTACTACTGTCAGGGTAC